ACTATAGCCCGCACTTGTAGAACAACCCGATTTTCCCATAGTTAAGGCGCAAACCCGTCAGGTGGAATGTCGCAGGTGGAATATCGTAGCTGGAATTTTATTAAGGTAATGTAAATGATTATGTAAGAGCTCTAGTAAAGCACGCTTTCTTGCAACGCATGTCGGGCACGAAGTCGGCAATGCATGTTAGCTCATGTATTGATGTTGCGCACAACTGAGTTCTGCATAATTTGTGACTGATGTTAATGCTCTTCTTTGAGTTTAAGAATACGTAATTATGTACACAGTGCTAATCATATATAATTCCTCCTTCATACATCATGAAAACCTATATATTTTTCTGTATTTTAAGCAGTGATCCTCAAAACTCATATTTTAACAAATAATTCAAGTTTAATATCTTTATAAAAGGATAACTTGTCTGTTGGCAGGCAAGGCCTGACGGTAAGCGTTAGTGACTCACTTTTTTTCTTAATAAAATTGACCAATAGACGTCGTCAGTGCATAACAATTCTCAACAAAACTGACCAATAGGCATCACTCAAAATTCTCAAAAAGAGAATAACCATTTTATATGATCCTAGAACACAGCTAAACCTATTAAAGTATTGTCACAGATTCAAATCCGTAAACAGGGAAATACAAAAAGCGGCTTATAATCTATTGAAAGTAAAAGATTTAACTACTTTCTAAAGACTAATTTAAACATTATTTAAGTGTAAATTAGTATTTCTGCAGACCTAATACCTTCAGTAATAAAGCTAGTTTGTGAAATTCAGAGTAGCAATACTATTTTCAGAGTAGTAATATGAGAAAGACATATTACTAGTGACTTAATACATATAATTACAATATATATCGGACTATAATAATCACACAACGATATATAATATATATTTCTCTCCCAAGCTTCTCTCTAGTTTTAAAGATTCGTAACTTTTGCAACTAGATCATAATATCTATTATCTTATTGATTTCCTTGAAACAAGAACATTAACAACCTAAATTGAAAATCAAATACAAGAATCTATTTTTTATAGAAGACTGTATTAAGAGAATAATTTATGTCAGATAAAACATCTATCTAGAATATTTTGAAAGAGATATTTATATCTTGTATACTAGGTGAAGAAAACGATTTATTAACGAAAGAGAATTTGAATATGATTGAGGGTTAGAATGTGAACAAATTGCAGTGATGAGAGACGATCGTGAAAATAGGAAAGTGCGGCATTGAAACCATTGGGTTTGAACTTTGATTATGGGATGCACAGTTTAATACTATAGGACATTTTATTGATAAACAACCCAGATCATGTTGCCTAATTTGTAGATATATATATCTTGATGTTTAAGATACCTCACATGCTTGATTTTCTGGCGTACCTGACGAAAATTCGCCAGTCAACGCACTGACATCATACGTATCATACTGAAAGGCTTTAACAATGCCTCCGGTAATTGTAGACTTATGGTTGTTGTCATATATTTGGTACTCATATGTGTTTCCGGGCTTATCTCCAAATAAGCATGATACTTCGTGGTCCATCTGTCCGTAATCATTCGACGTGGAGAGTCGTGAATTATCATCTTGGTTCATTATATGGGAAAATTCTATACCTCCTTGGGTGAAGTCCTGCTCGTTAAACTGCTCGTCTCTCTTTGATGCTAGGCCATTTATTTTACCCCATCTACTAATAAACGTAGTCTCGTTAAATCTACTAGCTGTGAAATGTACCAAAGTACCTGTTGCAGTGTATGTTAATACTACGGGAGTTTCACCAGCGTCGCTGTAATGTAAATCTCCATCAGAATTGTAAACAAGTGCAGCTGGCAAATTTGTAAGATTTACATAGTATTCCAAATACTTTAAATGTGATTGATAATTTGTCGAACTGTCTCTTTTACCAAACGACACTAATCGATTACCTATTTCGATATATTTATTCCAAGTGTACCAACCAGCTCCAGCAGCGGTAAATGCTGTGCTCAGTGCACCATGCACACATCCAATTTTAGCACTAGCTCCACCAGATGACCAGTCCTGACATGAAGTAACTAATTCATAAAGAGCTAACCCTGTGTCTACTAATTTCGCAGCAGCTAGAAACCACCATAGATATCTTTTATCCAAACTGACATCATTATCGTCATGGTATACACCTAGTTGAGTGTTATTAGATACGTCAGCTGGCATCATAAAAGGACTAACGTGAAGTGAATGATAATGTGGGTGTGCTACTAAGCTGCTTGATAAAGATGTCTGACCCAGCTGTAACTCACAACTAACCGTACTATTTCCAACATAAACTTCCACTGCATAAACACCACTAAATACTACATGCACCACCAACATAAAACTCAATAGTGTTAACCACATCATAATAGCTCTAATTGTTTTCTGAATTGCTTTCATAGCTGCTACAATATTTTGATTCTCTTCATTATGGTCACCTCTTTCTAGATCTCTAAATGATGAAGTGTTAAGCATTTTCCTAAAACGTAATATATCTCGAAAATTATGGAAGTGTAAATTATCACACTTTTATATCCTAAAATTTGGCTCGCTGGATAGATCGTAATTTTAGTTTCCGGATATTTCGGATATTCAAGTGAATAAATGTAATCTCGCAGCTGATTTACTGCAATAATGGCATTTGTACAGTTCCCGAAAAAATTTTACTTTTTAAGAATATCATTCATATACTTCAAAACTAGATCCAAAGTAACCCCATAGCCCTTCTAAACAAATAGACATACATCTGATTTATTTTATTTGTCATCCCTACAAAGAAAATAAAAGTCTAGAACCTAATATGGTTTGTGAAATAATACATTCACCTTCATATAATATATTTCCATCAGTAAATAAAGAACACCAGATTCAGTTGTGTAGCTTCCAGTTTGTTTATTTTCTACTTCATTTTAAACCGAATGTTTTTTCCACTGCCTGATTAATATTGTAGGTAATAGACGAAGGAGCCTGAAGAGGAAAGTGTGCACTATTTCCAGCTACACTACTTTAACAAAAGGTCCTAACCAATGCATGCTTC